ACAGTAGAGATTGACAGAGGAGACACAGCTTTGCTTTTAAATTTTTTTTGCTGTTAAGCTAGCTTAAGAGCCAGTGTTCTTTTTAATGAATAACTGACAAAACTTATTAGTGTGGTTTTGAGAATTTGAAATCTGATATGAAAAAGATGTGCCCGTTATTATAGCGGCAGTATTAAAGCCTGATTAGTTACAGAAAAGATACCTAGCAACTAGTTTTCTTTTGTCTTGTGTACTCAACAGGCTTTTGCAACAGTTGTGACAGCTGCTGAAAAGGATGCAAATTCTACAATCTCAGAAGAAATGAATGAAATTATCCAGTATCCTTTTAAAACCAAGTCTACCATGCCTTAGTTAACAGTTTTTTTACATTTGTTTCTTAAGCTGGAACGTCTAGGTCAGAAATATAGCATGTGCTTTGAAATCACAGGTCCTTGAGTTTTAAGCCCTAACACAAAAAGTAAATAAACAAAAAAAATTCACATCTAGAAATTTATAAGGATGTATTGCTTCTCAACCATACCATTCTACACAACCACCTAAATTTCCAAGTGTCCTGAATTTAATCTGAGATCAAACCTAGAATTCAGCTTATATCAAGTTTTTAAATATAGGCAATTCTTACATAGTGCTGGGATTATGATAGGTATGTAACATCACACACAGCTCCATTCGAACCTCACTGACAGTGTGTTCTAATTGTGTTTAGTATTTTCTAATAGGGTTATTTATAATTTAGTAATATTTGTTTCAACCACCTATTTCAATTTACCAGTTACTGTTTTAACTTTGAAATTATACCTTTTTGTCAAAAAAAAAAAAAAAAGGAAACTAATTTTCCTTAGCTAGAGTCTCCAGTGCTCGATTTATTAGAGCTGTTTCTGAACTTGAGCTTTTAGGCTTTATAAAACCTACGAAACAGAAGACTGACCATGTAGCAAGGCTGACATGGGGAGGCTGCTGAAAAGCAAGTAAGACAGGGCTACACATCTAACAAAATGAAAAGGCAATCTGGCATGTGCTATTAGAAGAGACTGCTGCTGAGTTGAGTTTATCCAGAAAGTGCACTGAAATTAGTGTATTAAAGCATCTTGGAGTACTAATCAACATTGACCAAAAGCTTTACACACAATGTAACTATACTTTCTACAGTTATTAGTAAACTCTAAACAAAGCATTGAGTGTATAGTGTATGATATCATTTCTTATCCAGATACTTGCGCTTCTCACACTTGTGCCTACTGTACAAAATGAATGTCCTACAGATGTTTTTCATGTTAGAAAGATTTTAAAACCACTTTTGCCTCCCCACTTCTTGTGATCCTGTTAAATCAGACACCTAAAGCTTATTTAATGTTCAACCCCCAAAGGAATTCAGAGACGAATGCCAAATGTCCATATTCAGATAGGGATGGGTATGTACATGAGTACAGTGCCCAAGGAGGCCAGGGATATTATTCATCTTAGAACTGGAGTTATCGGTTGTTGAGCCCCCAGATGTGGGTGCTGGAAATTGAACTCAGGCCTGCTCTGAGAGCAAAATTGATCTTAACCCCTGAACACAGATGTATCCCAGATAAAACTGAGAAACCTTTGTCTCCCCAGGCTGGCTTTGCACTGTTGGGTAACTCAGGTCTGCTTGCCTGCCCCCGACCGTGCTAAAAGTATTTCTTTAAACAATATTAACATCTTATGCATGTAAAATACAGAGGAACTGGTCTTACCACTGGCAGATTTTTGTCTTTCCCACCAAGGCACATGTTTTTCTCTTTTCCTAGGCATTTACCTACATTTGTACATGTCATATGCGTGCTGATTTTCTCTACCACCTAAGATTAACAGCAAAACAACATGAGCTGTCATACTAACCCATTAGTGATTTGTATTAATTACTTAGTACCCTTAGTTGAGGACAACTGTGAAACCTCAACTAGAATGACTTAGAATTAGGATATTATGTTTTTCCTTTGTTTTAATGAAATACTAATCTAAAATCTTAAAGTGCTTTTAAGTTTGTTTAAAAGATATTAAGGGTGTACTGTGCACCTGCTACTCCTGAGATACTTCAGAAAACAAAGATCCTGTCTTCCTTGCACTTTAGCAGAACACATTGTGATGGAAAACAGGGATCAATGGGGTAAGAGGTGGGCTTGTCATTGTAATTTTAAACAGTGGTTAGAACAAAACTAAAGAGTGAAAAAAAAACTACCCACGAACCCACGGATGAACAGCAGATAACAGCAATAACAAATGTCCTAAGGTGGAAGTATCCCAGCCATATCAAAGGAGCAGACAGCTAGAGCTAGAATGGGTAAGAACAGAACTGAATGAGAAGGGCAAGAGTGCAGGCAATAGTTCCACAGATCACTATATGGACTGCTTGTTTTTGAGCTAGGAAGAAACCTAAACGACAGACAGTACCTGATACGAGAATACAGTAAGAGGAATGACGAAGCAAAGCAGTAACCTGTTAGTTGACCACTGAGATAATCCAGGCAAGGCTAGGGTAATAGTACAGACAGTGACACTTTCTGCTTATCAATTAGAAGGCTTGCAATCAGGGACCTTGCTATGGTTTGGCTAAGATGTATATATACCCAGAAGACCAGTGTAACGTGTGAGGCTTAGTCCCATACTACTGCATGGTTGTGGCCTAATGTAAATTTCTCATGACCAAGGATTCAACAGTCCTCTTTACTCTTTGCTTCCTGACTGATGAGCTAACAGTTTAGCTCTACACTGCACTCCCAGACATATGCTGCTACTTTGTCACTACACACAAAGCAACATGGACAACTCATCACTGAAACCTTCAATGCTAAATTACTTAATTTTTAACAATTAACTTCCTGAGGATTTTATTGTACTTATGGAAGACTTAGCTGGTTTAAAAAAAAAAAAAAAAATTAGCAGCAAAAATGATTTTGGCTTTGGATATAAATTATGGGATGTCCTGTTAAGACATTTAAGTGAAATGTCACACAGTAAAGTGACAAATCTTGTTAAAATAAACCTCAGATCACCAAAATCAGTATTGCAAAGAGGGGCAAGAAGCTCAAACTCTAGCTTTGAGATTTATAGTTAAAAATTCAGGAAAACAGTAAAAGTTAATGTAAGAGCAGTCAGTGAAGGAAGAGGTTGAGCAAGTATCTTAGAAGCCAAATGAAGAGTTATTTATCAAGATAGAAATCTCAGGTAACTTTGTTAGTAATGGATTAAGATAAACTTACCAGATGACCTAACAAGGTATCCAAACTCAACAGCAACTGGGGAAAAGCCATGTGCTATAACTTTAGAACATGGAAACCACAGCACCACCTTACATTCTTACACAAACACTTGCTGTTCCACATCAGCCTGCTCAAAACTACCTGTAACTCCAGCTCCAAGAGATCACCACCTAAAATTTTAGACCTGCCTTCAGTTTATAACTTCAAAAGGATAGATCATGTTCATGGTAGCCCAAAAAAAAAAAAAAAAAAAAAAAATGCTCAAAATAGCAGGCTTTGTCTTTCCAGAAAAGCAGAATCTTGATTGAATCAATCCTGGGGAGATGCAGGTGGGAGGAGGCTTAGAGGAATAGACAGACATTCTGCTTCAGGGGGATAGCACTGAGGTTAGAAAGAAGCATACACAATTTGGCATTAACTTAACAAGTGCAAGTTTTTAGAGCAGTTGTTGCAGTGTTGAGGGTAAAGTAACTGACAACCAATGAGAGGTCAGCACTCTAGAATGCAGATTTATCCCAAAGAGACTCAAAGTCTGTACTAGTGGGAGATTTGTTCACTTTACAGCCAGCCATAGTGTTACGTATACTAATGGACTGGTGAACTGCCTGGGATACTTGGGAAAGCCCTACAACACTTTGACTGCTTGCTTAAGCTAAAAAAAAGACAAAGTCCTGTTTTCAGTGAATGTATTACAAATGAGATAATATGCTTAAGATTAGTCAGTTAAGAATACTTGCTGCTCTTATAGAGGGGTTACAGGAGTTTGGTTTCCAGCCTCCACACGGACAGTTCAACTGGCTGTCTTCTGGCCTCAGACTCCTCACTTATACATATATACAAATAAAATCTTTTCTTAAAACTCAATAGAATTCACTGAGCAGTATTTTTGATTTTTTTTTGGGGGGGGGGGTCCTGTTATATTAACCAAGCTGGCTTTGAACTCCTAATCCTCCAGCCTCTACCTCCCTACCACCAAGAATGCACTTTAAGCTTGTTCATTACTTGGTAAGAATGCTGCATTTGGAAACTATTTGTGGAAAGTGTGTTATATTTATTCATTCATGTGATGTTAGTGTTTTGAAAGTATATAATGTTTTATGTGTGTGTGCGCCTGAGTGTATATGTGTGTCCAATGTGTATCCTGAGTTGGTGGGCTGCTGTTTGGGTGCTCCAAACTAAACAAGTGCTCTTAACTGCTGAGCCTCTCTTCAGCCCCTATCATGTTGATTTTGTCAAGACTACATAGGACTTAAATCTCAACAAGGCTTGTCTAGATCTGGTTAGCCAGGGCATGTGTGGGTGGCTGAATTGTCTTAACTGATTAGGAAGAGCCAACCTGAAAGTGCACCAACCATCCCTGTGTAAGAGAAAGCTAACTCACTACTGTGCATTCATTGTTCTCTGCTCTTATCAGTGGATGCATTGTCCTGTTGTTTTACTTCCCCACTGTGGTGGACTGTAACCTGGAATTATGAGTTAAAATATACTGCTTTTGGCTGGGGTATTTTAGATCAACTAGAGCAACCATACTTTCATGTATCACATCATTCAAAAACATTAAAACTGGAATCAAAAGGTAAAACTTCTACAGCTGTTTGAGATCTTGCTATGTAACATGCTGTCATACAGTTCTGAATCAGAACTTAATTTTGGGAAACAGCATTTAATAAAAGGTGAACCTTATCAGAAATCTAACTTTATTGAAAATACTTACGTTTAAAACACTACTTTATTCAAATACTACCCATGTGTACAATTCGAAAACAAGCAGAATAGAAGTAAATGTTTTATTTTTCCAACTAAACTCCAGTGCTACAAGGGCAGTAAAACAATGATACACTGGGGGAGGGGGTTGGGGTGCAGCAATAAACATTTGTTAAAAAGACTGATAGAATAAATAAAACTACCAAAAAATAATAATAAAGGAAATCATATAAACCCATTCTGAAACCCCAAGAAAAGTCCTGAAATACAGAAATGCCCTCCTCCTCCACTATTTCACAGAAGTACTGTAGACTAACTGCTTAATTGTCCTGGGATTACATTCTAAATTATTAATAACTGGTTACAGCTTGGTTGTAGTGCACAATTAAAATCACACTAACTTCATCTGACGTGTCATTCTACAGTTTTATTTACATAACCAGTGAAGGGCATGTTCTAGAATGCCAACTTTAATCCCTTTTAAACATTAATATAAAGAAGCCAAATTGTAATGATACAGCAAAACGAGGCCACTGGTATTAATACAAGTAGCAAAGGTCCACATCCAGGTGGTAATGACATCACGGAAATTTCCAAAACCAATTGCTGCTGCCTAAGAGTGGTTGCCATTGACGAAAGCTTGAAATAACCTGTATTCACAGATGGGTACTGGCATTGCTGCGTGTCATAGTTGGGACCTCCTGCAACAACTCAACAAGGAACAAGGCAGCCCACAAATGCAAAAGGGTGATTCATGAAACATCTGGAGGAGAAAAGGAGTATTAGTGCAAAGAATGGGGCAAAATTAAAACATACAAGATAATGCATTGCTAACATCACCCCTAGATATTTAAGTAATCAGGGGTTACAGCATTTTACTTCTTTTGTAAACCTTTTCTCTACATTTTTTATCAACTCTTTAAATATGAAAACATGGTCACTTCAGTTTATAGTTCAAAGGTCAAATACTTACAACTAGCAGGCTGTTCTCCATATCGCCGCATTATCTGATCATGCGTAAACTTCACAAATGCATCATATTGTTCTACAAATAAAGTATGTGTCAATTACATGACTTGCAAGATATCTTATATAATGTATCTGAAAATATAAAGCCACATGAAAACACCTTCATCCATTCCATAACCTCCGTAGTAATTGTCAACAGCTCAGGTGAGTGTTTTCCATAGAATACAACATAAAAATCTGAATTCACTAATACTGTAGCTGATCTATATGACTAGTTCTTTCTTGGGGCCAATAAGGTGAGGAATGTTGATTTCCTTTTTTGCTGAAATGCTCTGGTTCATAGGCAACACTATCAATATATAGAAAAATAATTTCACCAATGTAAAACAAGGTGGGAATAATTCACTTCTTACAATGAGTTTTTAGGTGTGGCCATTCGATTCGAATAAGAATGGACCCCATAGGTTCATATATTTGAATGCTGAGTCACCAAGGAGTGGAACTCTGAAAGATTAGGACTAGGAGGTGTAGCCTTGAATGAGCTAGTGGGACAACCATAAGATAAAGCTTAGCATGCATACTAGTAAGTCTCTTGGGATCTGGTTGGTGACCCAAAACAAAAAAGGCTTTGAGGTTTCATAAGACCAAGGCAGACCTGGGCTTTCTCTTCCCAGGAAATCAGGATGTAGTTCTCAGTAATTGCCCAACACCTCTCTGCATGCTGTCATAATAGACTAACCTCTAAAACTGAGCAAGCCCCCAATTAAATACTTTCTTTCATAAGAGTTGCCTTAGTCATTATGTCTCTCCCCAGCAATAGAACAGTGACAAATACTGGGATATTCTAAACTAAATTCATTTTATTACCTGCAAGTTTTGTGTTCAGTATTTCTTCATATTCTTCTCGAACTTTCTCTTCTCGTTCTTTCAACAAACGTTCACAGATCATCCCAACCTGCCTTAGAGTAAATAAGGGCTGTTCTTTTTTTAATGGTGAGGATGTTGCAGATGAAGTACCTATGTACAACATGAATAAAACAGCACCTGATTTAGAACCATAACAGAATACCTCCTAAATGAAGATTTCATTTAGAACTGTCCCATGTTACTTAAAATTTATTCTTTATGATAAACAGGTCGGAACTAATAATTTTATCAGCCAATGACTCTGGAAAAAAGATATGTTATCCGAGGAAAAGCCTAAAGATAAATGGAGAAAGCCTCAAAACAAAATCATTGCAATGCTGGAGCCCATCACAAAACTTTCACTCTCCATCCCACTGCTTAGAACATTCAGTGGCTAATTTACAAAATTTCCTATAAAAGAAATATAACTCTGGTTTAAAGCTTCACTTTAATATTAGAGTAACACTATAAAGACTTATGTTATTGTTAATTGCTTATATTTTTAAGGCCATACAGTAAAGCCTCACAACCATCTTATACCACCACTTCAATATTCCTCATTTTTCAAACCGTTTAGTTTCCTATTTAGAAAGAATCATGTTTAAATAGAAAAAAAAAAAAAGATAGAGAAAATTACTACCCTTAAAAGGAGGTTGCTGTAGGGAAAATTCTGGAATGGAGATGCTTAATTTTAAAATAGAAATGATTTTAAGTTTTGAATAGTTACCATAATCCCTTAGTTCCTTTAATTCACACAGAACCAGTCAAAAACTGCAACAAATGATTTTTAAGCAAGAGTGGTTTTAGGAACCATAAAATATAGATGGCTTTTCCCCCTATACAGACTATCCTAGCAGATGTCACTAATGAAAACTGTAATGAAAAAAAGTACACAATTCGAAAAATAATCATGATCAGAGCTCCCTCTTTTAAGAAGTCACAGAAACGAACATTTCTGAATCTTTGTTCATGAGTCAACTTGCGAAGATGCTGGTATTCTATCCGTAAAGTTTTTAATACTGATTTGTGCTCACTATCTTAACAATTAGAATAAAGAATTTTCTCTTGTTACAATAACACAGAAGGAATATTCTTGATAATTTGATGTTGACAAACAATGGTGTTGCAGTTGCTTTGGGATACAATTGATACAATTGCTTTAGTTTGATAATTTTGGGGTTCTGTTGCAGACACCCTCTTCTGGCCTCTGTGAGCACCAGGCATATAAGTGGTATAAGTACATAAATACAGTCAAAAGTATAAAAATGAATAAAATTGGGTGTTTAAAAAGCACTGGTGACTTTTTTTTTTTTTTTTTTTGGAAGTTACAAGTTAAACTTACACAGTGTCCGCTTTAGGGATGCTAAATAAAAGTGGCTATTGGTTGGTGGGAATCCAGGTGCTGATTACTTTTGATACTATGATTAGCATAATTTTGTTAATATTGGAGAAAAACAGGTGCTGTAAGTCATTACAGGCATTTGCAATATACTTCCCCATCATTTCTCACATAACATTTCTTTCACTTATTAAAGTTTCTTATTACCTGGTGACGCTGGTCCACTGATGAGAAATGCATGTGGCTGTGAATCAGAACTACAGCCTGGGTCTGTCTGCTGAAAACTAGCTTCTAAATGTCTTCTCTTCTGCATCCGCTTATACTCCTGTTTTATGTTGTACAGAATTTGTTCTAAATGGAAAAAAAGTAAAAATTTGGAAAGATCAAAATTTCACTTTCAACAAGTGTCCCATGCCTCCCTCCTCCCCCAGCAATTTCTTTGAGCACAGTTAACTGGCCCTTTTTCAAAAGCAGTATATCCTACCCTCTCCTGGCCTCTTTAGGCACATATATCTGGCAAATACCCCCAGACACACATATACACATGAAATGAAATTTTTTTAATGATCTATTATTTTTTCTTTTATCTACGTTGGTATTTTTCCTGCATGTATGTTTGTGTGAAAGTGCCAGATCTCTTGGAACTGGCATTATAGGCAATTGTGAGCTGTCATATGGGTGCTAGGAAATGAACTCAGATCCTCTGGCAGAAGAGCCAATGTTGTTAGCCACTGAGCCATCTCTCCACCCCCCATAAAATGAAATCTAAATTAATAAAAAAAAAAGCATATACATACCACCTGCAATCTAGCAATTCAACATCAAATCCTGTTAAGCACTAACTAGTAAAAGCTAAACTTAAGCTTTTTACTCAAAACAGTGGTCAGGTAGTCTGACTAAAACACATTTCACTCAGAGAAAACTCAGAGCTCATACATCCATAAATATAAACCTACTTAAATTAACAGGTATTTCCAATAATTAGAAGGGAAGCTTATGCCAGTGGAAAGTGACCACAGATCTAAAATGACAAAGTATAAGGCAATTAAAATTTCATCATGCATAAAATTGTCACTGTCATTGGTTAATATGAAATATAATGAAACCTGAAATTATTCCAACATTAACAACAAAGAATCCTGAATCTTGGGGAGAAAAGCCCATGAGAAATGATATGGTACAACATGGAGTCTTTTCAATACATAAGAACTACTGTACTACAATGCAATTATCTTGAACATAGCCATTGAAACAGTTAAAATTATACCCAGCTAATGATTTATGAGTCAATGCTATTCACTATACCAAGATTTCTAACTGCAAATTTTGACCATTTGATATAATCAGAAAATGCCTACCTGAGGTTTCTACTCCCGATCACCCACCTCCACACTTTCTCACTAACCCCTTTAGCTCTATGTGAAACTAAATCCCAAGAAGTTTATTCATCCTAATTGAAAGCAAAAGTAAACAAAGTGAAAGGTTTCGACAAACAGGCAATAAAAAAGATGCACAAAGTGAAGCATTAACTTTTTTTTTTTTCTTGGTTTTTTCAAGACAGGGTTTCTCTGTGTAGCTTTGGAGCCTATCCTGGCACTCAATCTGGAGACCAGGCTGGCCTCGAACTCACAGAGATCCGCCTGCCTCTGCCAATTAAAGGCCACCAATGCCCAGAAAACATTAACTTCTATATTCACGACTGTGAGAAGTAGCAATCCTGTGCAATATTTGATACTGGTGCCTTTCATTTTTAATCTTCAATAGTCTCTTTGCCTAAGAAAATATTCAGGGGCTGGAGAGATGGCTCGGGGGTTAAGATCACTGACTGTTCTTCCAGAGGTTCTTGAGTTCAATTCCCAGCAACCACATGGTGGCTCACAACCATCTGTAATGTGATCTGGTGCCCTCTTCTGGCACGCACTGTTTACATGAGAAATAAATAAATCTTTAAAAAAAAAAAAAAAAGAAAATATTCAGAATTTTAAAGAAAGGATCATTGAGTCTTTTGCCTCATGTACTTAACTATACCATATGCATGCAGTGCCAGTGAAGGCCAAAAGAGGACATTTGGTATCTTGGAACTGGTGTTAAGGACAGTTTGTGCATGCTGGGACTAGAACCCAGGTTCCCTGCAAGAGTAGCAGGTACTCTTAACCACTGAGTCATTTCTCCAGCCCTTCCCTCTCTAACGTTAAATATTTTAAATGCTGTCAATTCCACTGTAACCAACAAGGGGGGGAAAAAAAAGAGAAACCCAAATGGAAAATGAAATCCAGTCAAGATATCATTTAATTTTTATTTAAACAAAGGCTCTAACACTGATATACATTACTTCTATTCAGATATCTGACTGACTGAAGCTCCTACTGCACCTATAAAGTAATAAAGGTTTATTAAAGTCCTTCTATGTAGATCAGTAACATACTTTCCTACTTATTCTAAAGGCACTTCTCTCCAGTCATTTATTTAACAAAATATAGTTAAGTATTTTCTCTAAGAACATGTAATATCAACATTGTATTGCCAACACAAAATACATCAAAATAAAAAGCCAAAGCTTCATTTTCAGGGGTCCTTTAGAGAAAAACAAAGTTATATTCCTGACTAGCTGTATCCCAGTGGGTTATGCCCCGCTTTATAAATTTTAAAGTCTGTATTACTCCTTTACAAAAAAGGTGAGAGCACCAGTAAAATCTAACTCTAGGCATTTTCATTCTAAAATCTAGTAAACTAACACTAAGTGATAACAAACGTTGCTTCCTCATAGTAAAGTTTATCGGTAAATCAGCAATATCCTTTTGGGTTTTTCTGTGTAATCTTGGATGTCCTAGAACATGTATCAGATTCTTTAATATGTTATATACCATTTCTTTCTTTAAAAAGAAAATAGTGGGCCGGGCGTTGGTGGCACACATCTGTGTACACCACCATGGGCATATTGGAGTCTGAGGACAATCTTGGAAGACTGTCTCCTTCCACCATGGGATCATCAAAATCAGTTCACCAGACTTGGCAGCAAGTGCCGTTACACACTTAGCCATTTACCAGTCAATGTCATTTATTTCTCTATGGAGTATCTGAAAAATTAGAATGAACATGCATCTAGTCAAAGAATGATTAAACAAAGGAATCCTGAAAATCCTTGATTTATAGGAAGGAACACAAATGACATAAAATCTGTTCACAAGTACAGGAAATCTGCAGTAGCCATTAAAACTGAATATTAAACTTTTAAATAAAATAACAGTCATACAATTCTGAATTTCAGATAGTGCCATGTTTCGATAAGTTCAAATATACACAAATGGGTACTGATACAGAGACCCATCTTTCTAAAGCAGTTATTTTTCCATGATCATGAATTTGAAAATTAAAACAGTTCTTATTTTCTCCATTAAGAAGAACATGTAAGGCCAGCCTGGCTGATAGACATAGTGAGTCCCCACCATCCAGTGCTATGTAATGAAACCCTGTCTGAAAAATAATTAACTGCACAATGGGATTCAGAACCCAAAAATCCCTCAATTAGCAGATGGATTCTCTTTCTACTAACTTCTCATTCATTTGACACCAAAAGGGATGTGTTAATCTGATTGCTTTGTTGTGTGCCTCTATTATAAGTACCTTCTCAAATAGCTTACACATTAGAAAACTGTGGGGTAACCTTAAATTTTAAAACAAAGCAAAAGCAGCAACAACATTAAGTAGGGGAGAGAAAGGGGAAATTGAACCAATCAAAACCCAAAAGAGGGAAAATGTGTGCACTACAGAGAACACATGGTTCCATGTAATCTAGAAGCAGGGAGTCCAGCTCACATTCCAACTCACCACAATCATAAAGGCAAAATAATTTATAGTTACTAAAAGGGTTTTATAATAAGCTGAAGTATTATTATCATTGGCTTTGTACTACCAGTGAAATAACAAAATTTGACCTTGAAGTGGTCCCCATATAGATGACAGAAATGTTATCTAATATAAACTTAGAATCTAACTTGGCTTGCAAAGACAGAGGGGAAGAAGTTTTTCAGAGGACAGCATGATTAAAGTTGAAATACAAATCCATTTCCTATTCATGTGCTCAGGCACTCTTCCTCCCAAATAAGCTACACAGACAAATAGTGCCAACATTTGCTAAGTGATGTTTCACACACAAAATAACATCCTATTTGACTCTAGTACCTTCTTTTTTTATTATTTAAAAAAAAAAAATGTTTGTGTGTGTCTGTGTGTGCACATGTGTGTGGGTACCTGGAGGTCAGAGATGCCCCTGGAGCTGGAATTACAGGCAGCTGTGAGCTGAATACCATGGGTGCTGGGAACAGAACTCAAGTTCTCTGCAAGAGCAATAAGCACTCTTTTTTTTTTTTTTTTTTGGGGGGGGGGGGTTTGGTTTTTCAAGACTAGCTTTACAATAAGCACTCTTAACTGCTGAACCATCTCTTCGGCCCTGTGTCTTCTTTTAAAAAAACAAATATGAATATGTGGCCAACATCTGTAAAACTGTCTCTTTGATCTCTCCTAAGATAATCATGTGACTGATGTAAAAATACATTTTTCTATAGTGACTACTATAAAAGAAGACTTAAGACTAACTCTCCACAAGAAAATACTGATTGAAATCTAAATTTAAAAGTTGGGAGTAGGGGTGGGGTGGGGGAGACGGACAACAATGCAGTGGCCCTCTTGTAATTCCACCTCAGAAGGTGAAGACAACACAGGAGCAAGATGGCTAGCTCTGGATTCAACTGAGAGACCCTGTCTTAATAACTAAGGTTAAGAGTGTGATTGAGGCAGACTCCAGATGTCAATCTTGAACCTCAGCTAAGACATATACAAGCATGTATATATACATGTACGCTTACCACACCCACAGAAAAAAAATATAAAGAGATTTCACAAAAATCCTGGCTTCTATTAGTAGGGTAACCATGAGGAAGATCTAACAATAAAAGTTCCCACAGCTGGAATCAAGAGGAATGGTAGGATTAAAGATACAAATTAGTGAGTCATCTGTAAGTAGAAACTGCAGTCATGGGACTCCTTAGGGAGCTATTAAGTGAGGTGGCCATGGCTGAAACTAGAACCAAAGAAACGCCACATTTGCCAGGCAGTGGTGGCGCACGTCTTTATTCCCAGCACTCAGGTGGCAGAGGCAGGTGGATCTCTTGAGTTCTAGGCCAGCCTGGTCTACAGAGTGAGATCCAGGATAGTCAGGACTGTTTCAAAGAAAAATCCTGTCTCAAAAACAAACAAAAACCCTATATATAATGCTAGATGAATACAGAAAGAAGAGCCAAAAGTAGAGAAAACATAAGCATGAAAATAGCATCTAAAAGCTCTTCCAAATT